TTATATTTAAATATATTAATCTATTAATATATTTATATTTAAATATAATATATAATATATAATATATAATATATAATATATAATATATAATATATAATGTATAATACATAATATATAATATATAATATATATAAAATAATTATATTTAAATAATATAAAAATAAGAGTTATGTTTTCATATAAAAATCCCTATAAAATAAGTTATAAAGAATATGTAAATTATCTTTTTCATATAGAAATCTTTATAATATAAATAACAAAAATATATAAATATATTTTCATATTTATATATATAAATAATATATATTTTTTCTTTATTCCCTGTATTTTTCTTTATTTCCTGTATTTATTTTTCCTCTGGTGTCCCCCTTGTGCTGTGCAGTTCTGATCCTGATCCAGGTGCATTCAAAAAAGTGGCTGCAATTTTATCTCCTTTCCCAGGGACACAAAAATCCCAGGAGAGCCCCCAGAGCTGCATCAGGCACTCGAGGATTCTGTCAGAATGTTTAGAAAAAATTAGGGAATTAACAGAAAGTTTTTTTTTAAAAAATTTTACAGTTAAAAAAAATTAATAGGAAGTTTAAAAAAATGACAAAGTTCTGAAAAAAATGGGCAGGAAGTTAAAAAATTAACAGGAATTTAAAAAAATGGAGACAAAGTTTTTAAAAAATGGAGACAAAGTTTTAAAAAATGGAGACAAAGTTAAAAAATTGGAGACAAAGTTTAAAAAATGGAGACAAAGTTTAAAAAATGGAGACAAAGTTTAAAAAAGGACACAAAGTTTTTAAAAATGGACACAAAGTTTAAAAGAATGGACAGAAAGTTGAAAAAATGGATGAAAAGTTTTTTAGAAAATGGAGGTAAAGTTTGAAAAAATTGACAGGAAGTTTTATGAAAAGGGACGGGAAGTTTGAGAAAATGGACTGAAAGTTTAAAAAAAAGGAGAAAGTTTGCAAAAAAGAAGCATCTCCAGTGTCTGCATCATTCCACTTTCTCCACAATCATCACCCCTGCAGCTCTCACACCTTTTAACTCATCTCTGAGTTTTGCCTGCAGCCAAAATTCCCTCCCTGACAAAAAAAAAAAAAAAAAAAAGGCTCTGTTCTCCTCCCTGGATGAATGAAATACCTTGATTTACAAATTAAGTTGTGGTGGTTTTGGTTTTTTTTCTTCTTTTTTTTTGGTAAATATATTTCTAGAAAATAAAAGGAAATACCTTGATTTACAAGTTAAGGTTTGGGGTTTTTTTGTTTTGTTTTGTTCTTGTTTTGTTTTGTTTTGTTGTGGTTTTTTGTTTTGTGTTTGTTTGGTTGTTGTTTGGGGGGTTTTTTGTTTGGTTTGGTTTTTTGGTGTTGTTTTTTTTTTGGTGCAATTTTTTGTTTGTATTTCTGACAAAAGGCCACGTAATTAATGGGGTAGTTGTTTTTTTTTTTAATCAGGCAAATGATGCTGACCCCTGGGTTGCTGCAGAGCACCCGACCCTTGGCCTGAATTATTTATGTGCCCTGACATGGAGCTCTTTGACAGGAACCATCCTTTCCCGGCATAAAGTGAATTAAACACCATAAAAACCCTAAAATATCCACTTGTGTCCCCACAGAAAAATGCTGAGGAGCCTGAGAGGACTCGCCTGCCGCTCCCTGAAGGTGAGTCCTGGGAGAGCCTCATGGTATTCCCGATTTTTCAGCTGTCCCAGGGCCTGGAGTGGCGATTCCCAGCTGTAAAAAAACGGGAGCAGCCCTGGGAGATGTCAGGAAATAACGGGAATATCTGCAGTGTGTCCCTGAGGGAAAGGAATTCCAGTGGGTTTGGATTTTCCCCTGCAGGGAACAGGCAGCCCCTTTTCCAGAAACTGGGATCCCATGGAAAAGGTGGGAACAGGCAGCCCTTTCCCATATCCTGGGATCCCATGGAAAAGGTGGGAACAGGCAGCCCTTTCCCATATCCTGGGATCCCATGGAATGTGC